CCTGTCTCCATTGCTTACCTGTGATGGAAATCCCTTAGAGGTATTCACTAGGATTCCTCCCACCCGAGACTACTGTAATTAGCTCTGCAAACAACTGTGATTGGACACGGTTGTCGTAGTCATTGTTCACTGACAGGCACAGATAAGAACCGGGTCGCAGCAAGTGGTGTTCTAAACAGTGTTCCCTGCTTGGCTCAATTCATGTAAGGCTCTTGTCAAGGACACGGTTCCCAAAATGCTAGCAGCAGGCAGTGTCATTGCAACACCTTCCAAAGCCCACAAAGGAGGACATAACAGATCCCCAGCGAGTGTACTGCCTTGCACTGGGAGAAACCTTTCCTGGGATCTGGCTGCCTCTCCTTCTTGTGGAAAACACAGGTATGGCCTGGTATGATTTAGAGAAAGGACACTCTTAGTCTTCCTGATTCTTAACACTTCCACAGTTTCAGCTCTTCCCCATACGAACACTTGCAACTGAATGTTATAATGTGTGCTACATTCACCCTATGCTTTTCAGACATGGTGCTCTGATCGGAAGCAAAACAAAATGCTGTTTATGAACCCCTGTTGGTGAGCAGTGAGCCAAGAGGCAGCATGGGTGTGGGATGGGAGGTGTTGCCCTGGCAGCAAATCCAAGTTGCTCACACGAAAGGAAGTGTTTCTAAGGAAGTTATCTGAGCAAGAGGTAAATACTTAGTTATTCAAATAGGCCATAAATGACTGCTTCATCTCCTATGTGGCAAGCTCTCATTCCAAAGAGCTCACAAAATGACAGGATAGCATTTTTCTCTTCAATCAACCCTTTATTCACAATCTACTTTCCTTTGTAATGTCATGAGTCTCTGTAATCAAACTCTTGTTGATAAGGTATTAAATAACTACAATTTGGCTTGGTGTTCTTTCAACAATCGTTTTTGCACTATGATTCTAAATGACAACAACAACAAAAACTCTCATGCCCTTCTGTGGTCTGAAATACTGTGCTGCATATATTTCATGCCTTCTTACCTCTCTCGCTGCTATTTTATGAGTCTACTTCAACATTTTTTCAAACCTGTCTCCTTGTTCCAGTGCCCCTGCTATTGTCACAGTTAAGGGCTTTGTCCTCTCTTGCCTACACACTGCAAAAGCCTAGCCTCCTAAATGGTCTCCCCTGCTCATCTGCTTCATCAGCACCTTCTTCCAAATCGTGGATCTGATCAGGCCACTCACAATCCCATCATGGCTCTCCACTGCCTACAGAAATGAAAAGCAAACCACAGACCTTAGCCTGGCAGTAAAAACCATGCATCTAGCCCCTGTCTACTGCACCCTTCATGTACCCTAAACTCCATCTATTCCAGATAACTTGCCCTTGCATGAAAGCACATCACTTTGACTGTATCTTTGAGCATGCCTTCCCTCATTACAAAAATCACTTTTGACTCAGCTCAAATGCCATTTCTTCCAGGAAATTAATGAATCACTCTTCCCTCCAAGCACATATAGTTTGATATAATTCATATACCATACAATTCACCCCTTTAAAATGTGCATTTAAAAAAATAGTCACAGAGCTGTGCAACTATCACCACAATTTTAGAATATTGTAATCATCCCCAACAGAAACCCTGTACCCATTAACTATCCCTCCCCGTCTCCCCCTTCCCTCCCAGGCCTAGGCAACCACTACTCTATTTTCTATCTCTATAGATTTGCTTATTCAGGATACTTCATACAAATTGAATCATACACGATGTGGTTCTTTGTGGCTGGCTTCTTTCACTTAGCATAATTTCTTCCAAGTTCATCCGTGTTGTACCATGTGTCAGTACCTGACTCCATCTCATTGTTGAATAATATAGTCCATTGTATGGTTATACTACATGTCATTTATCCATTTATTAGCTGGTGGACATTTGGGTTGCTTCAACTTTTTAATAGTTATGTATATACTTTGATTATCATTTAATGTGTTTGCTTAGTATTATAGGGTTTTTGTTTATTTGGCCTGTGTTTGATTCATCACTTGATTATAACTTCTTTGTGGACAAGAAACCATCATTTTCACTTTGTAACCTCCACATAACAAGTATTCAACAAGTGTTTGACAGATGGAAGAATGGGCAGATATTATACATTCTTACTATATCAATTATACAAATACTCAGAATAAAAACATTAGAGTAGGCCCAATAAATTTACCCAATAAATTATAACATTCAAACACTGGAGGTTCTTTAAGTTTGATCTCTGCACTATTTTCTGGAGCTCCACGCATGGATACTACAGCTGATTATTTCATGGAGGCAGTTCCTTTGCTAATAATAATTGTGCACTGAGTGGGGACAAGCCTGGAAGATGCCAGGCTTTTTCTTACATTGACTCCACAGTGTCTCATCATTGTGCTTGACGTGACTGAGGTTCCTATTGCAGTCTAGAGTGGTGATTCTCAATCCTGGGTGAGCATCAGAATCCCCCATGGAGCTTCTTTATATATATATATATAATTTATTTATTTTATTTTTAGAGAGAGGGGAAGGGAAGGAGAAAGAGAGGGCAAGAAACATCAATGTGTGCTTGCCTCTTGCATGTCCCCTGCTAGGGACCTGAACTGCAACCCTGGCATGTGCCCTGACTGGCGCCCCTTTGCCTCACAGGCCTGTGCTCCATCCACTGAGCTATACCTGCCAGGGCCCCATGGGAGTTTTTCTAACATACAAATTATCCAGGTCCTGCCTCCCAAATTCTGATTCTGTATCTTGAATAAGGGCCCAGGTGCTCACATGTACTAAAAGCTATAAAGATGCTTCTGATGCACAGCCAGGTTCAGGAATTCCTATTTCAAGAGTTGCCCTGAAGTTAAAAATAATTACTCTTATAGAGCATGTATGAGCACTTTACCCCTGAAGAGTACTTTACTTGGAATCAGAGACAAGTCTTGTATGGATGGTGCCCATTAATGCTACCTAACATGTATAAGGCACTTTTTATTTGGAAAAAGCTTTGCAGTCATCTTTTATTATCCAGGCTTGCATGCTGGGTGTCCAAACCACATAATCCTTTCATGTCTCAAATTTCCTCAAATGTAAAGTGTAGGCAGTAATACTAACCCACCTTCAAGGGATGTTGTTAAGATTAATGGAGGACTGTGAGGCATTCAGCAAACAATTGTAAAAAAATTTACATGCATGCTTATTAGACAGGTATGAAGTCTTAGTCACAGCCTTTTAAGGTGAAACAAATACCAAAATAAAACTCTTAAACAAGCCTTCCCACAGCCTTCATCATCATCAGAAAGATCCTTTTCCAGCTTGAAAGTATAGCAATTCCCCCTTTGCTCCAAGACTAATAAACAGACATAACTTGCAGTCACAAAGAAAACATAGCTAATGGATGGCATCAAATAAATATATAAAGCAGCCCTCAAATCTAGTTTAACCTCATTTATCATTCATAGTGCAATTAGACAATATACCTGTAAATACACTCTGCTAAAAATATTCTTATAAAACACTTGTGCATGTTCACACACGTCTTTGAGGTGATGCTACATACTCACTGTTGACATTAAACCTGAAGTTGTTTTCTAGTTTGTGACAGCTTTTACATGGCTATATTAACCTCTTCTATTCTGCCCAGTGTGGCTGAAAGAATATGCGGCCCTAATAAGACCTTGAGATATACCTCAAATTGGAGGTAAATGAGAGTGGAAAGGCACTTGAAGAGTCTTCAACTTTGGAATAAGAGAGAAGTTTTGTATGGATGATGACTCACAATTAAGGGCTCATTTGTACTATATTTTCAGTTTCTTGGAAACAGACATGGTTTTTCCTCCTTCCCATTTTGCTTTGAAAGGACCACAAAATTTCAAGGGCCAGGTCCAATCACATATTCGAGTTCATTTACAAGTTAATGGTTTCTGTGACTCTGAATGAGAATTAGTTCCTTCATATCCACCATATCTGATCTGAGCCATGAATTCTAATCAAGCATGACCTTTCTGAGACTACTTGACCTGAATCATGCTCTTTCCCCTTTGGGCTTTAGAGGTTTGGGTTTTATTCCCAAGGGCAGTTATCTGCTTTGGTTAAGCTCAGGACCTGCTAGCAATTAAATCCTATTAAATAAATATTTATTGAGAACTTACATCTGTAACTAACACTCTAGTGCAGGGGTGTTAAACCTGTGGCCCAGGATGGCTATGAATGAGGCCCAACATAAATCATAAATTTACTTAAAACATTATTTAGTTTAATTACTAAGTTTTATACTGTTTTATTGCTTAGATATGTACATTTTCTGTATTAGTGATCACAAACTTGAAACTTGCTCGATGATCTTAAAAGATTATTGAAAGGGCCACTGCATATTTAGGATTATTATGTGAGGACTTTTTTGCTTTTCTGTGGTGGTGAATATCACGAAAATTATGCATGGACCATTTTTCGCTCATCAGTTTTCATTAGTGTTTGTGTATTTAATGTGTGGCCCAAGACAACACTTCTTCCTGTGTGGCCCAGAGACGCCAAAGAGTTGGACACCCCTGCTCTAGTGCTTACTGTGGAAGCTACCAAAAATTCCTCGAGATGCTTACGGGATTGCTATAACTCAATGATCTGAAGTCCTTGAGTCAGGTCAAGACCAACAACCTCCCCCAGAGACTCCGAAGGTTTGGTCAGTTACATGCTGGCTCCCTGGGGACTCCTAGACAGGCCTTCAGCAGAAACCAAATTGAAATGTTATTTAACTTTTCACACATTTGTCTACACCCAATATTTCATTAGACCACCATCAGCATTCAGAAGCTCCTCTGAAAAGATCCTCAGTGCAGGGAGCCTTATTCATTGGGAAGGTTATCTATTATGCATAGTTACTGTTTCTTAAATAAGGTTACTCTCAGCATGTTTCTACCTCAACAGTCCTTGAGAGTCTAATTATTTTTGCTGAACATCTTAAAGGGAGAGAGAGCCATGTTGGCTTCATTTCAATAGTAAGGAGAAATTAATGCTAATACACACCTTCAATGGGATTCACTTAGGTATCCCAAACACTTCCATCAATATGGAAAACCCCCAGAAGTATGCATTGTGTATATTTCTTCTGTAAAGAGATGCAAATGGTTGCTGTAAGTTGTATGATTTCCTCTGAGTCTGTCAAAGTCCTTTTTTCTCCATATCTCAAGGTATATCTCAAGGTATACATCTCTGTTTTGCAGATCTAGAAACCAAGACATAATAAATTAGTTTTATTGTTTTCCTTAGTGAAACACAGGCCACCACATCCTAGCCCATTGCTCCCCTTCAAATCACATGGCATTTTAAGGGAGAGGAGAAATCAGGTACAATTTTCTCATCAAGTGCTTGTTCTACATATCTTTCACAGGGGATCTTAGAACATTAGATGAAATGTAATCATCCTTACATGTTTACTTTACTTTCTCTCTTTCAGAGAAGGAAGGAAGGAAGGAAGGAAGGAAGGAAGGAAGGAAGGAAGGAAGGAAGGAAGGAAGGAAGGAAGGAAAGAAGGAAAGATGGAAAGGAGGAAGAAGGAAAGAAAGAGAAAGAAAACCCAATCCCATGAAGAAACATTTAACCAATTACTCTTGAGTCTTTATGACTTGGGGCATAAAATACAATCTGGGCAGAGTCAAATAGGGCACTAGAGGGTTTAGGGACAAGGAGAATGCTGTGTATTAGATTTAGGATTGTAAAATGTCACACTTTTGTTGTTTCCCATTTGTCTTCACACAGAAGGTCAACACTGGCCTGTTTTGTTATGGCAAATATTTGCTCAAGAGTAGGATTTCTCTGATTGATCATGGATGGGCATAAAAAAAGAAACCAAACCAAACAAACAAACAAACAAAAAGCCTTCTACAAAATCAGATCAATGAGAAGCACCCTGTTTAACAGATGTTAAACTTTTCACTATTTCAATTTTTATGTTACCTAAGTATCCACCTATCCCTTTAGAGCATCTCTTTATTCTGTCTTGAAAACTTTAAATAAAGTTGTTTTCTTCCTAAATATTTTGGGGTTAAAAATAATACTTCTTTCACTCGTATTTTAGTCCTGATGATTAAGCATTAAAGATGCGAATTAGTCGTCTGTATTTGGGGAGAGAAGGTTATTTCTTTTTAAAAATATATTTTATTGATTATACTATTACAGTTGTCCCATATTTTTTCCCCTTTATTCCCCTCCATCCTGTACCCCCCTCCCACCAGCATTTCCCTACCTTAGTTCATGTCCATGGGTTGTACATATAAGTCCTTTGGCTTCTCCATTTCCTATATTATTCTTGAGCTCCCCCTGTCTGTTTTGTACCTACCATTTATGCTTCTTATTCCCTGTACTATCAGCTGACTTCTCAAAAGAGACCTTACAAGTAAGAAGGGGCTGGAAAGAAGCATTTAAAGTCTTAAAGGCAAGGACCTACATCTAAGATTACTCTATCCAGCAAAGCTTTCATTTAGAATGGAAGGGCAGATAAAGTGCTTCCCAGTAAGGTCAAGTTAAAGGAGTTCATCATCACCAAGACATTATTATATGAAATGTTAAAGGAGCTTATCTAAGAAAAAGAAGATGATTAAAACTATGAACAGTAAAATGATAACAAACTCACAACTATCAATAACTGAATCTAAAAGAACAAAAACAAAGCCAACAACTAGAACAGGTACAGAATTATAGAAATGGAGATCACATGGAGGGTTATCAGCAGGGAAGGAGATAGGGGAGAATGGGGGAAAGAAAATGTTATTTCTTGATGTGCAAAACTCAAAATGAGTTGGAGACTTCATAGGTCACCTGATAAATAGATAAGATTTCACCTCAAGAAGAAGGAATTAGGAACTGAATTGACCAACTCCAGAGAGACACTCTGGTTTTGGGGAAAAACTAATCTGAAATCAGAGAGTATTAAAAATGCTCACAATGTTAAAACTTCCATACTTCCCAGACCCATCTACAGATTCAGTGCAATTTCTATCAAAATACCAATGGCATTTTTTACAGAACTAAAATAAACATTAAAATTTATAGGGAACCACAAAAGACCCCAGATATACACAGCAATCTTGAGAAAATAGAACAGAGTTGGAGGTATCACACTTCCTGAAATCGACATATACTATAAGGCTAAAGTAATCGAACAGCATGGTACTTGCATAAAAACAGACACATAGATCAACGGAACAGAATAGAGAGCCCAGAAATAAAGCCACAACAATATGGCCAATCAATTTATGACAAAGGAGGCAAGAATATACAATAGGGTAAAGGCAGTCTCTTTAATAATGGCATTAGGAAAACTGGACAGACATATGCAAAATAATGAAACTGGATCATTTTCTTACATCATATATAAGAATAAACTCAAAATGGATTAAAGACTTAAATGTAAGACCAAAAACCATAAAATTCCAAGAAGAAAAACATAAGTAGTAAACTCTTTGACATCAGTCTTTGTAATATATTTATTTTGGATGTCTCTCCAAGCAAGCAAAACAAAAGAAAAAATAAACACATGGTACTAGACAAAACTTAAGATTTTTTGCATAGCGAAGAAAACTATCAACAAGATGAAAAGACAACCTCCTGAATGAAAGAAGATATTCACCAATGATACATCTGATAAGGAGTGTATATCCAAAACACATAAGGAATGCATATAATTGAATACCAAAAAAAACAAACAATCCCATTTTAAAATGGGGAGAGGAGACTTCCACCAAGATGGAGGCATAGGTGGATGTGCCGTGCCTTCTCACACAACCAAGATTAGAGAAAACTAAATATTAGCAACAGAAAACACAGCCAGAACACGGAAAATTGAACTTTTTGGAAGTCTGTTAACAACAAATTCTTCAGCCTGACCGGTAAGGGGCGAAACCAGCGGCTGGCGGAGCGGGGTTGCACAGGAAAACTCGGTCAGACGCCGCGGAATCCAGGCGCAGGGTTGGACCTAGTGAGTGACCTAGCGAGCGACCAGGAGAGCGACCTCGGGGGAGACAGCGGGGCAGCGTGTTGACTGAGGTCGCGCATTTGTGCGCGGGTGGACAGGCAAGGGAGTGGGCGGTTGGACCCAGCCGGCAGGTCCCCACGGCAAGCGGCAGTGGAGGGCGCCGCCATTTCCCTGCTCTGACCCCACCTCCACATACCCCAGCGACTCTGAGTGGCCCGGCCCAGGTGAACCACCTAAGGCACTGCTCCTCCGCACCCAGCTGTGAGAAGCAGCAGAGGGGTCGCCATTTCCCCGCTCTGGCCACGCCCCCACATACAGCGTCACAACCCAGCGACCTGGGAATCCAAGGCGCCCCTTCTCACTTAAAGGGCCCGAACAGACCAAGAATGGCGCAGGAGGATCTCAGAGCCCCAGAGCCAATAGATCTAAGCGATGAAGAAATAGCAAAACTCACAGACGCACAGTTTAAAACATTGGTGATCAGGATCCTCACAGAACTGGTTGATTATACTGACAAATTAGACAAATATATGAAGGCGAAACTAATTGAAATGAATGGAATTGCACAGGACACCAACAGCAATGAAAAGGAAACTGGGACTCAAATCAATGGAGTGGACCAGAAGAAAGCAAATAATGGCCAAACAGAAAAGAGTGAAGAAGCAAGAATTCAAAGAAATGAGGAGAGTCTTAGGAACCTCCAGGACATCTTTAAACGCTCCAACATCCGAATTATAGGGGTACCAGAAGGGGGAAAGGCACAGCCAGCAGTGGAAAACTTATTTGAACAAATAATAAAGGAGAATTTCCCCAATCTGGCAAAGGAAATAGACTTCCAGGAAATCCAGGAAGCTCAGAGAGTCCCAAAGAAGTTGGACCCAAGAAGGAACACACCAAGGCACATCATCATTACATTAGCCAAAATTAAAATGAAGAAGAGAATCCTAGAAGCAGCAAGATATAAGGGGACAGTCACCTATAAAGGAGTCCCCATCAGACTGTCAGCTGATTTCTCAAAAGAGACCTTACAGGCAAGAAGGGGCTGGAAAGAGGTATTCCAAGTCATGAAATCCAAAGACCTACATCCAAGATTGCTCTATCCAGCAAAACTTTCATTTAAAATGGAAGGACAGATAAAGTGCTTCTCAGATAAGATCAAATTCAAGGAGTTCATCATCACCAAGCCCTTATTATATGAAATGTTAAAGGGACTTATCTAAGAAAAAGAAGATAAAAAAGATGAACAGTGAAAGGACAACAAACTCACAGTTATTAACAACCACACCTAAAACAAAAGCAAACTAAAAGAACAGCTAGATCAGGAGTGGAAACATAGAAATGAAGATCTCAAGGAGGGTTAGCAACAGGGGAGTGGGAGGAGGAGAAGGGGGGGGAGAAGGTACAGAAAATAAGTAGCATAGACAGTAGATAGAAAATAGATGGGGGGCAAGAATAGCATGGGAAATATAGAATCTAAAGGACTTGAGACACATGGTCATAAACTAAAGGGGGGGTAATGGTGGGGATGAGGGGTAGGGTGGAGGGGAATAAAGGGGGAATAGAACAACTGTAACAGCATAATCAATAAAAAAATAAAAATAAAATAAATAAATAAATAAAATGGGGAGAGGACCTGAATAAACATTTCTCCAAAGAGGACATACAGACAGTGAATAGACATATAAAAAGATGCTCAACATTACTAATCATCAGGAAAATGCAAATTAAAACCACAATGAGATATCGCCTCACACCTGTCGGAATGGCTATCACCAAAAAAACAACAAACAAGTGCTGGTGAGGATGTGGAGAAGAGGGAACCTTTGTGCACTGTTAGAGGAATTGCAAATTAGTGTAGCCACTATGGAAAACAGTATGGAGGTCTCTCAAAAAATTAAAATTAAACTACCATATGATTCAGCAATCCCACATTTGGGCATTTACCCAAAGAAGTTCAAAACACTAATTTGAAAAGACATGTACCGCTATGTTCATTGAAACATTATTTATAATAGCCAATATATGAAACAACCTAAGTATCTACCAATAGACAAATGGATAAAGAAGTTGTGGTAGCCCTGGCTGGTGTAGCTCGGTGGATTGAGCACGGGCCTGCGAACCACACGATCGCGGTTTGATTCCCAGTCAGGGCACATGCCTGGGTTGCAGGCCGGTTCCCTGCAGGCCAGTTCCCAGTAGGGGATGCACAAAAGGCAACCATACATTGATGTTTCTCTCCCTCTCTCCTTCCC